AGACATTAATTTTTGACAAATTTTTAGTTTCTATACATCTCGTAATGTGAAGAGGGTCAGGTGGTCGAATAGGTATAGTATCTAAATCTCGCCTCCTGCAATGTTATTAGAAATCAAAAAGACAATTACTCGTATTATTATTATTATATTCTGTCACGACAATATATTAAGGGCGGATCTCGAGGGCAACACGCGCCCTCCCTCCTAGACGCCCATTTTTTCTTGTTTATTTTATTATATTAGTATATACGAGTATGTATATTAAACACCGCGACTGCTATGATGATCCCAAAGAAATTTTGTTAATCCGATTTTTGAACTGTCTAAGGTTAGTAGAAGTGGGAAAAGCTTCCCCTTGCAGATTGTTCCACAATCTCGGCACCATCGGGATTAAGGAGCGGTCGTATCGGCTAGTTCTGGATGTACGAAGTTCGAAACGGTTAGGATGGGAGGCCAAATTCAGGCGGGTCTGTCTGGCAGGCAAATGGCGCGGCGGCATCATGGAAGAGAGTTCTGAGGAGCAAAACCCGTTGGTACAGCAGTAAAACAGAGCTAGATCGCCGACGTCCCGCCGGTGCGAAAAGGTCCCGTGACCGCATTAATAATGTAGTCGGGGCGGCAGCATCCCACACGTGTGAGCAATACTCGAGGCTAGGACTTATCTGGGCTTTGTATAGAGTGAAAAGGTCATGCAGAGAAAAGTACTTCTTAGCCCTGAACAAATAACCTAGCTTTTTCCCAGCAGCTGCCGCTATTGACGGGATGCGTTCGAGCCAGATCAGGTCCTCGGTGATCTGGACTCCGATGAGCCGAAATGAATGGCTCTTTGGCAGAACTCGGCCATCCATCGAAACAGGTTGAGCGCTAGGACGCTTTTTGTTGGTCAAGCTACAGTATTGTGCTTTGGAAGAATTAAACTGTACAGTATTGTTGCGTCCCCAAGCAATGATAACCTCTATGTCTCTCGTAAGAGAGGAAGTCGACGCTAGCTTTCTTTTTTCCAGCTCAGCGGCAGAGAATGGCTTGTCACTCTGCATTCCTGCATGTAGAGTGCTGTGATCAGCGAAGCTGTGGATTGGGTTGATCGTGCAGGAAAGGAGGTTGCTGATAACTAAGAGGAACAGTCTCGGAGCCAAGACCAATCCCTGGGGAACACTCACGTTGACGCTGTGGGAGAACTTGTCAATTACGACCTATATCTGCAAAGCCTCTCTGGGAGGCCATAGGATGGAAGTTTGCTTAAGAGGCCAGCGTGCCACAGCTGATCGAATGCTTTCCTAATGTCAAGAGCAACGACATGAGCCTCACCATAAGACTGGATGAGCTTACTCCACAATTGCGTGACGTAAGCTAGGAGGTCTCCTGTGGATCGCTGGTACCGGAAACCATACTGCCTGTCGCAAATCGAGCTGTGACGTTCGAGATAGTCGAGAAGCTCGCATTTATGCACCTCTCTATCACCTTACTTACAACAGAAAGCAGAGCTATAGGCCTGTAGTTGTAAGGGTCGGTCTTAGATCCTTTTTTTTGGGATGGGCTGGACATGAGCAAATTTCCAGTTTTCTGGGAAGGTGCTGGATTGATAAGATATCTGGAAGCGGCGCGAAAGAACTGGAGCAAGCTTCGCTGCACACGTCATCAGTACAATGGCAGGAATCAGGTCCAAACCACAGGCTTTGTTGATGTCGAGCGACAAGAGTACCCGTCTTACGGTCTTCTGCCTGAATGCTACTTCCCGCATAGTGTAGGGAACGGTTTGAATCGACGGCACTTGGGCAGTGGGGGGACATCCATGGTGGAGCTGGCAGCAAAGATCTTGGCAAGCACTTCCGCCTTGAGACGGATACAATCGTTCCATCCTGACACGTAAGTGGTGGAAGGCTACTACGTGAGAAGTTCTTTTCTATCTGCTTGGCCAGCGTCCGGAAAGACCGACTGCTATTGCGCTGCGACATTACCCTATGCATATCTTTTACATCGTGCTGGTTTTTGACATTGCGAACCGCTTCGTTATATTTGTTTCTGGACTCGACGTCGGCTTGTCTGTTCTCTACAGTGGGGTTTTGTAAGAAGGTTCTATGTGCCTTTATCTTCTGCTGACAAGCAGCGTCACACGATTTGTTAAAGCAGCCGTTAGACTTTGATTTAGGTACTTTCACCGTATGAGTGATGTATTCCTCCATTCCGACGTAGATAATTTCGATTATCGAAGAACAGACAGCCGACGCATCCGTGTCAGTGGAACAGACATCTCTCCAAGGAAAGGTAGAGAAGAAGTATCTCAGCTCCTCCCAGTCGGCATGTCCGTAATGCCAAATTTTGCGCCCCAGGTGAGTTTCTGCTGCCACAGCGGGTTCTGACCGAGACCTAACCCCTCCACAACACTGTGGTCTGAGTTACCCAGGGGGCACTGTAAGGGCCACGCTGCGTGGTTCGAAAGAGATCCAGCAGGCTACTGGCATAAAACGAGACGCGGGGGAAAAAGTAGGGCTCGTCACCAGCTGGGTCAGCTCTTGATTGAGTAAGAGCGAATGCATCAACTGCACGAACTGCTGCATCGGTCTTGTTTGAGCCCAACCAAAGCTCATTATGGGCATTGAAATCATCGAGAAGAACTATCTCTGAGGCGGGGTGATTGATGTTCAGGAAGTCGGGGGACGGGATGAGAACTCGCACAGCGCACGGCGGCTGATCAGGAGACTGAAGAGTCTACTACTGCGGCCACTGCTGCTGCCTGGATATGCATATGATACCTAACTGTAATTGTTCTATAAACATGACCAGGTCGCTGTTGCATAATCATGGCCTGTCGGTAAATCTGAAAAATTTTAACGTTCTCGTCAAAGTGATGGCGCTGTGAAACTATACCTGTGGGGAGGAACTTATTCGCAATCTTGCAGTTTAATAATATACTAAGTGACATATAAATCCGAACACCCAGTTTAAATGGTTTTATTTTAATAAAATTTTGTATAAGTACTTAATGGCATAATAAGTATATGATAAAAATTTCAAAATGATTGCACTGCTTTAAAGCCCTTTGACCTTTAATAATGTGTGGATGCACCCTGATGTGCTTCGCAATCTCCAACGCGCCTAGGCATGCTTCTGATCAGGTGGTCAATGTCCTCCTGCGGTATCTCATTCCAGGCAACCACCAACTCCTGTGCTTCTAGAGTCTGAGGAGGACGTTGCAAATTGAGCAATCTCCTACCCATCATATCCCACACGTGTTCAATTGGGGATAAGTCGGGAGATCTTGGTGGCCATGGTAACAATGTGACATCATTATGTTGAAAGAAGTCTATTGTGACTCTTGCAACATGCGGTCGGCCATTATCTTGTTGGAAAGTTGGATCAGCCACGGTGTCAAGATAGGGTAAAAGATGGGGTTCTAGAACTTCGTGGATATAACGCTGCGCGTTCGTGTTACCTCTGATGAAGATTAAAGGTGACCTGGAACCATAAGCTATAGGACCCCAAACCATAACTCCAACAGTGTGATGAACATGTCTTTCAACAAAAAACTGTGGATTCCTCCTTTCACCACGTCGCCTTCTAACCCTGGCACGACCATCGTGCATGCCTAAACAAAATCGAGGCTCGTCACTAAAGACAATACTGTTCCATTTCTGATCCCAGAGTGACCGTTGTCTGCACCACTCAAGGCGATTACGTCGGTGTTCTCGAGTTAAAGGGAGGACCCAGTGCGGCCGGTATGAAAACAAGCCAAAACTTCTCATTCGTCGGTAAACAATTCGTATGCCAATAGGTCTTCCGTGTTCTGCAAACCATTCATTTGCAATGGACCTGGAAGTGGAGAAACGATCCCTTAAGGCCAATAATCTTAGGCGGCGATCTTCACGGTCTGCTGTTCTACGGCGGCGTCCAGTGCCCCTTGCTTTTTGCGTACGGCCTTCTCGAAGTCATGCCTGACAACACCTAACCACAGTGTCTACATTCTTTGCACTCTAACTGCAATTGCCCGAAAAGAAAAGTCCAGCTTCCCGAAGTCCCACTATACGGCCCCTATCAAACTCACTAAGTTGACGAAATCGTACAGGTACAGGTCTCCGTACTCTAGGCATCGTAACCGATCGTAAAGGATGTCAAGAACCAAAATCCGCCAACGTTGATTCTTTACTGCGGCTAAAATATTCATTTTTAGAGCGTTAGTGAATTAAAAAAAAGCAGTATAAAAACCGGAATGTCCAACTGATAAGGCTGAAAATTTTTTCACTTGTTATTTACAGTAAGATAAATACATTCACCAACTTTTATTAAAATAAAACCATTTAAACTATGTGTTCGGATTTATATGTCACTTAGTATATAAATGGCTAAGATGGCAATGTTGAGCAACATGAGAACTTGCAACAGGTGGGAATAAAGTGAGACTTAAATTGAGTAATTTCGCATTTTGTAACTATAACCAAAATTTTAGAAAACCCAAAAAAATCGTATCGGTTATTGAAAGTTCTGTTTTCTATTGTTCAGGTTTTTCACACTGTTTTCATATTATAGAGATTGCATTTCTGCTATTACGATTCCAGTAAATAAAATATAGAACACACAGAGAATTTTTGTATTAGACATAAATAGTCATATAAAAACTTGAAGGGGGACAGCTTATAGTCGAATATATAAATAATTAACGTAACAGCGTAACAGTACAGTTCCTTTTTTGAGCGCCTTCACTATCCTTCTCCATAGCTCTCAACTTTGATGGATGAATGTGCAGGTGATTATTGTCACCATCATCTTCTGTGTGCTCCGCTGCAAAATTATCAGCTATTGACAAATTATGTAAAACGCAGCATGCGCATATGAAATGCAATATCTGCCTGATGCTTCTTAGCTTAGCGTGATAGAGTTGCCTCCATTTTTGCTTCACTAGAATACGATTTGACGAATGTTTTCTATTATAGTTTAGTTGTCTGGATGATAACTGGCCCCTGTCTTGGGATGAAATTAAGAGGTTGGGTGACAAGGGGTATGCACTATCCAAGAATGTGATCGGCACCACACCTCTGCTCCAGTGTCTGAAAAATTGGTAACGTTCTAAAAACCTTAGCATCATAGCCGGTAAACATACTGATAATTTTCAAATCTTGGTCGCATATAAGTTGTGTCTGTAATAAAAACAATTATAATTACAAATAGTTACATAATATATAATATAGTGTATTCTCAAGATGTAGGTATGTAGTCATATAGCAATAATTGAAAATTAGCAGCAAATGAGCATGGATCACAATTATTATAGTGCATCTAAAGAACGACTATGTACATACACAACAGTTATTTTAAGCTAATTCTAGGTAAACTGTATATATTCAGAAATGAGCAACTCTACTTGGTGCATAGGTACGTACTCATAATTACACTAACCTGTATAGAGTAGTATCCTTTTCTATTGGTATATGATAAAGGATCATCCTCTGGTTTGTCAATCTTTATATGGGTTCCATCAATAATACCAACGATTTCTGGAAATCCATTTTTATTCAAGAAATATTGCTTTGCCCTATTTATTTCGTATTGTGTAGGCCACTTTATAATTCCTGGTGCCAGACTACTCAGAAAGTTGGTCATTATAGCTATGACAGCATGCAGGGAACTCACAGGAACATTGAACCTATAAGCCACATCCCTGAAGCTGTCTGTTTGATGTCAAGCAAACCATAAAAATATACATGTTTGTTTATACGGGGTTAGCTTCCCATATGGCCCTGCCTGATAACTAAAATGGTTACTGCCACGGAATTTCACTGATATTTCTTCTGCCACTTCCCTGGTCACCCGAAAATGTTCCAAGAACTCGTTGTTGTTGAATTGAGGCAGTGTTTCCTCCACAAAACTTAGGTTTTTGGTTTCACTCTCTCTTTCAATAGGTCTTCAAAGTCTTCATCTTCCGAAGCAAACTCTGACATTCCCGAATACTCGTTGCTTGATATATCACTCATAGTAATCGTCTTTTGCGAAGCAATATAATCCTCAAGATAGTTTCGACACACTCTGATACCTGTCACTGTCACTTATTGGCTGGGGTTCTCTGACCTGTCAGAAGGTGCTGTACGGACACCGGACTAGCTGTCGGCAAACAGTTAGAAACTGTACGAACAGGTAACATCTCTCTGATTCTGATTTTGACAGTCACAGAGAAGTTACCGATACTGTACGAACAAACCTATTTTTCTCAAATGTCATATAAAAAAGTTAAAGCGGGTCGATTTATTGCCGAAACCCCGTACTGTGTCACTAAGGGCTTCTAATATGATCAATCTGTAATGTCATATATAACAACGATTTTGGTTATACAGGGTGACTTTGAAGTTGAGTCATTAATTTTCAGATAATGATTGTAGAAGGAAGATAAACCAAAATATGTGTGTAAAAATAAAAAAAAAATAAAAAAAAAATGTTACCTTGTTTAATAAAGTATCCTCCCGACAAGTATTTCAGTGCGGACCTGTATTTGATCGTGCGGTCTTGGAGCAGCATGCCCTCACCTGTGAGGTCTTAAGTCACCTGATTCACGAGCCCTTTGCACTACATTAACAAAGGCACGAGGGGTTGGTTGCACTCGATTGGGAAACCGATTCGCATAAATCCGTGATGCATCCGGGAGCATTTTGTAAAGACTGCCCCCCCCGTAAATAAGAATCATGTCCACAAGTTCAGCATTTTCGTAAACATGTGCCATTTTTGATTTCGTTTGAGCCACGCAACACACTACTATTCACTCAGGATTTATCGACTGACGAAAAACATCGTTATAAACGTTTCAAATTCTTTCGCTTTTTTGTTTCCGATGCGATGAACCGGTCAGGCGGATTATATCCGTTGTCGCCAAACACGAGCATATAATAGGCAGGGCGGTACTCAAACTTCCAAAGGGCTATAACTTTGTTACTTTAATTTTACCAGAAAAATGGTAAAGGAAAAAAACATTTCTTTTGATCAGATCTACTCACTGTTAAAATAAATGACTCAACTTCGAAGTCACCCTGTATAAGTAGTGTAACAGGGTCCTGGCAACATGACCAAATCGTTTACCTCAGTAACCCCAGTATACGCACATATTAGGCATGTTTCACTCAGCATAAATGTCCGCGTACTTTACCTTTACTCAACATATTCTCAAACAGTCGGGTGGCGATACGTGGGACGTGATCCTTGACAACTGTCGTCAGTGGTCGTGCGTTACAGTCTGCAATCGCTTCCACACTACTGTAAGCTGTCACTGTGTGCACTGTGCATGGTGAAGGCCAATAGCGTCATTCACGTGGGTTTTGTCATACCAACGATCGTGTTGGCTATTTTTCTCAATAGATATCGAACGATTTTTTTAGGAAAACGATCTCCTTCCATGTTCCACTGTGACTGGATGACTTCAATTACCGCAACAAGAAACTGTCGAGAGGCAAAATGTTGTCACCTGCCAATCTGTGATTCCGACTTTGACACAATTGTTCTGGAATCTTAGATTTACTCCACCCTAACTATCTCTCCCTTTTCACTCCTAGGAAGCTCAGAGTCATTAACTGGACTACCCTTGCATAAGAAGTAATTTTCCTAGAACTGAGCTGCTGGCCAAGGATTCGGTTGAAGAAATGTGTGCCCTGTTTTTGGGTGACTTCTGAATAATTTAATATAGATTTCGTCTTAAAATAGGTACTTAGGATAACACATTCTGCCTCTAAAATAAACCACTACCTTACACAGGTAGACCACGGGAAGAGAAAAGGAGTCGGTACTTTTAAACCCATTATACTGTTGATTAGTCGCGGAGGTTCATTGCTAGTGTTCTGGCAACCGAAAAATAGGTGGTCAAGATTTCCAATTCCATTACAACTTGTGCATAAGTCAGTGCCCAGTGCGCCAATCTGATCTAAATGCTCTGGGTAACATGCGCGTTCAAATCTGATTCTTATTAGTGTCGCCACAGTTTTTCTGTTGTATTCGTAATCACTAAACCAGTTGGATCTAGTGATTTTGGTTTGTATTAATACATGTCAATCAGCTCTCCTTTGTTTCTTTCTGCATATGAGTATATTCATTTATAGGAAGAAGGTGGTTCAAGCTTTCTCCAGAAGTAATGCCTTCCTTGGTTAATCTATCAACCATGTCGTTATGTTTAATTCCAGCATGGGCTTTTACCCATACTAACTTTTTTGTAGTTTTTGTCTCTTAGTTTCTGTAAGTATTGTTTTATTTTCACTATGTATGGATTAGTATAAGAATTATTTATGTCGACTAGGATAGATATTCTTTGCTGTCTGATTGTATATGTATAATCCCTCTGATAATTACCTTGGAATCTAAGTACTTCAAGGCTTTGAGAATAGCAATGGCTTCAGCTGAATGTCCACTGGGGTGTATAATAAATGCACTGCCTGTTGCCTCAGTGTCCTTGGACGCGCCATATAGATGTTAACATAATCTGGATGCGGATTCAGCAATGCTCTCAAGCAGTTTTCTTCAGCAGAGGGGATGTAATTTGGTAAGATAAAGTTGTTTTTCAAGAGTAATGAACAATTCTTGAGAATTTCGAGGTGATTCGAATGAAGACACATTGCCTATCTCTAGCCTGAATTTCCTGAATGCTTCACATAAACGGGGTGATGGTTTTTTCTGCCAATATTTGTTTGTGAGGTCATGGATGTTCAAAGTGCTTATATTTATGACTTATGACTTGATGACTTGTTTTTTGACAAAAGTTGTCTCCTTCGCTAAAGAAGCTGATGAGCTCAAGGTTTTTTACTCTAAGAGATTACATTGGAGTGGACTCATTGCACCTTTTTGGATGTTATATTATATATATCACGAAAAACCATGTCACTCATTTCTGTGGGTATGTCTCTCTGTCAGTTTGACTGTCCGCTAATGATTGGCCCGCCTATAACGTGCAAAGTACCGTTTGGATTTTGATCAAATTTCATTCTTTGACGTTTCGAGGGCTGGTGATCATTTTCAGAAAATTGTTTTCATGGGATAAAATTTTGTGGTTGAGTGTTGTAGAGGGTGGTGTTTGTCATTATTCTAAGTATGTCACCGTAAGGAATTTGCTTCCCCTTGTAGTAAATTCGAACCTAAAAACCTTGTCTATCAATTACACATTCATTAGCATTGATTTTCGTGGAAAAATTGCAGTGCAGACATGAAAACTCGAGCGCCAGACTTTTCCGAAAGTCCTGTCTTTTTGATTATCTCTACATCGCGACTCAACTCGAGCATCAGCAGGACGTGTGTTTTGATTGGAGCAATTTGTGCAGATACGTCGACGTCGTTTTACGGGCCAAACTGAGATCTGAGAAGTTTCTACACGTTTCTACCATCGATTATACTTTTTGCATTGCGAAGAAGATTTTACTCCTTATCCATTTGGATTGAATTTTGCATAAAATGAGTTATCATCTACGCGAATTTTTTGAAATTATTCTCATAGGAAATCTGTGAAGATATAGGAATTTCTAGAACAAAATTTATATTTCCGTTTCCCGTTGGCGCGCGTCAATGAAATTTCGTATACCAACGTTTTTTTCATTTTTTCTTGCACTGAATCCAATAAATGTAAGAATTACAAAGTAACATTTCCATTTTCGTTTCCCCTTTTTTCGCTTAGGTAATTTGGGACGCCGAAATTGAATATGTCTAGACGTCAAATATCAAACCTTATGAATTTCATAATATTCTACCAGTCTATTCATGGATCTCTTCTCTGTCAGAAGAAGAACAACAGTATTTCGTCCTATTCCCAGTATCTGCATTCGTAAATATCCTAACCACAATTTTTGGTCTCAGGTCCTATTGTGAATGTTCGAAAATGAGATATACTTTTGGATGTTATATGACATGTACACGAATAACCATGTTACTCACTCATTTCCGTTGGTTCGTTTCTCTGCCTGCCGTCTGTCAGTCTGTCCACTAATCTTATACCTGCCTATAATTTGAGAAGTACGGCTCGGATTTCAATGAAATTTTTACACATTATCCAGTGGCTACATATAAAAGGCCTAAAACAAAAAAACGCTCAAAATTCGTTTTTTGACGTTGCTGCAGCTGCATTCAATTATGACGTGGCAATCGATTACAGTTCACAACAAACCGTTGCTATTGGACCAATGAATGTTGTTTCACACTGCAAGGCTTTCAAGTTTGAAAATCAACTGCCGGAGGAGTCAAATTGACTTCATTGGTACCAACACCAGAGCTACAACATTGGTGGTTTCCAAAAATGGGCCAGATTCTATACATTTCTTGATTTATATCCAGCAATACAATAATTGCTTTCAAATGACGTCATTTGGCTTACCAAAAGTCATTCGACATAATTTTATGCCTACTTGCAAATTGTTTTGCGGATATACATGGCTAAATTAGAATGAAATCGATAGTGAGTTATAAAATAAGTATTAAAAATACTATGCTTGAATGATGTATCAATAGTTAAATGGAAGAATATAAAAATTATGTGGCATAAATGTATAGTAAGTAAAATAATCAATAAAACAGACAAATACGGAATTATTAAAAGTTATAAAACTCTTGTAGAGAGTAAAAACACTTAGGGTACAAGTATGTTAAAATATGTTTTTTGAAGACCTTTAAGTCGTTGATGGCTTTTAACTCGGAGCGCAAATTATTGAAGATAGATCCACATAGATAGTCAGGGCTATTGCGGTATGTGCTTAGG